GTTTTATGTTGCAGATAATAAAATCCTTCACATACGTAGCTTTGATGTTGACGGTAAAGTCCACACTGTCCACGTAGAAGAAAGGTGTCACAGCCAACAGCTTAACCTCAAAACTGGGAAGCACTAAATAAAACAAAACAGTTTTTTGTGTTCACTAGGTGAAACATAAGTGGATGACAAATAGCAGCACTGATAAAATATACTGTAAATATTTACCATATTCTTTGACCTCAAATTCTGCAGTAAAGCTCTGCYGTGGGTTGCTTTGGAACTTTGCTACCACTTTCCACTGTCCAGGACTACAGAGACACACATATTCAAGTCATACATTTTCATATTTTTATACTGAAGATTAGAAAAACACAGGAATTAGCTGTCAGATCAGATGTTTATACCTAACAAAAACAACAGAACTTTTCAGCATCTTAAAGGGATCCAAGATTTGTTGTAACATTAGACGTTATTTGAAAAACATTTATTTTAACTGTAAAATAAAGACTGTAAAAATAATGTGGGATGTTTAGTTTTTATAATTTTAAAACTAAATTTTTAAAAATATATTTCACGAACTGAGCCATTTTATTTACACACAAAGCATTCTGGGTAAACAATGACGTCGACAGGTCCTTGGTGCGAGGCTGCGAACTATTTCCACCCTGAAGGTTAATCTTGGACAATATCTGACGATTGGCTGTTTTAAATGAAACTAGAGAGCAGGGTGCGGCAAATCCTATTGCCTGACTGCCCGGGGCAGGTAAAACCCATATTCGGGCAGATGGGTGTTTCTCGATGCCTTCCGATGGTGACGGGCAGGTAAACAATTAATTTTATTGTTTATAGGGTCATTTATTCAAAATCATCTGAAAATAAATAAACAAATACTGTGTATAATGTTTTAAAACATGTATAGAGAGAATAAATCCTCAAAATCCCCCCTCCCGCTGTAGAAAAGTTAAGTCTTGCCATTGTCTCGCGGGATCAGTTCCTCCGGGTGAAGCTCCACCTCCTCAGTATAAAAAGCCATTACGATTGTTGTTGTGCAATGCGCAGCTCATTTCACAACAAGCCTTCAATGAGGCAATGGGTAGAGTGTTGAACCAGAGAGCGGGAGACCAAGGTTTGAGACCGACATGGACACAATTCAATTATTTATTTTCGTTCGTTATGAACACGTTTTCTCATGTACCTCTGTTGTTTAGCTTTTTAAAGCCTATTTATTCGAGTCTCTGAGGTATTTTGACCGCTGCTGCTCCCTGCTCTGATAATAGCATGCAGAGTGAGGGCAGAGCAGAGGAGGGGGAGAAAAAAAATTGCGACCACGACTCTGCCTCTGGGTCTCATATACACGGTTGTACAACGGAGCTTCTGCTATTACTAGCCATGCTAACGTAAACGCTGGCTTTGGAGGGCGGAGTTAATGTCAACAGATTTTTGGAGGGCGTTATCAACAGAGCTCATTAACATAAACAGCTCTTCTGAACGGAAGTCAGAGCAGGCAGAACTAGAAAATGGGAAATTTTATCATCTGAGAATTATTTTGCACATCAAATTGATGAACATAGTCTGGATAGCCCACAGACATACCATAAAAATTTCTAGGACCCATAACTGGTCTCCTTTAAAATGTATCTTTATCAAATAAAGTCTGATCGTTTTTTTATTAAGTAAAGAGAAAACAGAGAAAGAGGGAAAAACAAAGAGAGACGTAATGAGAAAGATTGAAATAGAGATTAGAAGTATTTTAAATATACACCAAGAAAACCTAACACACACAACATCTGTCCGCTCACCTAAAAATAAATGTATAAACACATGGATGGCATATATAAATATATACACATACCCATACATATTTAAAGATATACATACATAATGTACATTCATATTGTAGATATATACACACAGACATATATACACACTCAGTGACCAGTCAGAACCCCCAGATCAGAACACCTGTTTGTGAGCGGTTGTGAAC